CTAATATCGATATATTTTTGTCAAATTTTTATGATATCGTCAAACATATATTTTATTCAAAAATAAAAACATCATCGCTTTCTCAAAATCACATAAAGTCATATTATAACATCGACTGAGATAAAGAATAAAATGAAATATTAAAAACACGATGTATCTCGCTGCATTGCGCGAGTACTCTTCTAGTTTATACTAATATGCCGTGTCCGTGTTTACTAACACATATATATATTATGAATATAAAATATACTAACAAAAAGTATATGTTACTTGGAGAGCGCAGTACAACGGAGAGTTGTATGCTGTGTTCGGGAATGAGCACCGTGGAAATATATGCCACTCAGCCAACAAGTCTGAATACACAGGTACACTGTTGGATTCCAGCACTGAGTGGGAGAAGAAAAGAAATTATATATAACTTTTGTATTCTAGCATTGAGTGGGAGAAGAAAATTTTATACATATGTATTTATGTTTGTGATTGTGTGAGCGAGGGAGAATAACACATAGAAATAGTGTTGATGTTTGATTTCGGTGGACACCACTATCTACTTACAAAAAATAAACCCACATGACTCCATTTAATAGAGGCGTACGTCTGTGAACCGTATCACCTCCTTGCCGCTTAACCACAGCCTTACACATTTCCGGCATACGACCCATCAGAGGTGAAGGAGGGGCCGCCTCACTCATAAAATTTGGACTCCTCGCCTCTGCCGCTTTTTAAAACAGTGGTTACAGATGAGGTCCCTTGCCCTTACTCCGTTAATCCACATCTGTTAAGTTCCCCTCACGTGCTCATGTGAGGGCATTTTGTTCATTTCTTTAATAACTATTTTGTAGTACGTTTAGATGCCTTTTATACAAGTGTGTAAAGCATATAATAGTACAAATAAAATAAAATAATAAACAAAAAACACATACCCATCTATGACTTTCTTCCCGATACCGACCACCCAAGTCTCTGGTGGTTCCCCATCTTAGCAACACCAAGTGCTGCCACTTTCATCCAGATCCACTCACTAGTGACCACCAACACCAAGCAATGTCATTTCCTTCTTTCATCCGGTCTGGTAAACCATGTATCAAAATCAACTAGAATGGGACGAAACCGATCTGGGTTTGATTTTGATTTTACCGCCAACTCGTTCTTCTTAGTTAGGTTGTTGCTTCTATCTTCACATTGGTGGGTGCTTTGTTGATTTTGTTTTTATAGTAGTGGGGGGTGGTTGTCACTTTTATCCATTTTTTCTTTTAGCAGATCACATAGTGCTTCTACTCTTCTCTTACTGTTGCTTCGTTTTTTCCATCGATTTAGGGTTTTCTGATTTTGTTTTTTAATTTTTACAGGGTTGGCCTGAACCTGAATCGATTTGGGTTTGATTTTGATTTTACTGCTTTCGTCTTCTTCCCCATTTCCTCAATCCACTTCCATCTAAAATCTCAAACAAAGTCAACCTAGATCCAAGAATTGGTTTTTGATGGCAACTTCAGTTTTCCGTTTATGATCTATTGGAATACAAATCGAGAATCCAAAAAGAAATGGAAAACAGAAGTTGTTGCCATTGAAAACCAAAACCTTGATCCAAGTTGAATTTGCCTGGGTTTCAAGATGGTAGTGGGTTGGTGGAGTGGGGAAGAGGACAAAAGTAGTAAAGTTAAAATCAAACTCGGATTGGTTTAGGTTCAGGCCAAACCAGTAAAATAAAACACTTTGCACAACAACACCCATCTGAAGACAATAAGAAAACCTAAATCAGTGGGAAAAATGAAACAAAATAAGAGAAGAGTAGAAGCACTATGTTGATCTCCTAAATGGAGCAGAAGCAACAACCGTGCCACCACTATGAAGAACAAAATCAAAAGACCACCCACCACTGTGGAGAACAGAAGAAACAACCTGAATAAGGAGATGACGGTAAAATCAAGCCCAGATTAGCTTCGTCCCATTCTCTTTGATTCTGTTACGTGGTTTTACCTGATCTGGACGATAGGAGATGGCAGTGCTCGGCATTGCAGGCCGGAGACTGGGGATGCAATGCCAGAGACTGGGGAGGTCAGATCGGGGAAGAAAACCGTAGATGGGTATGTCATGTATGTGTTTTTTTGTTTAATTTGTATTATTAAATTCTTTAGTCACTTGTATAAGAGACATCCAAACTTGTACTACAAATTTTTTATTAAAGAAGTAAGCAAAATGTCCTCAAGTATAGGGAACTTAACGGAGTTTGGGCAAGGGACCTTATCCGTAACTAAATACCATCCTTGTAATTATTTTGTTTTAAGGGACCTAATAAGATTCACAGCAAAACTCACAAATTACTGTCCGTAGTTTGCAGTAGGATACAACAGAAGAGGAATTGAGGAGACAGAATCGAAAGGTGCAAATGGCAACTCAAATCCAGTGGCAATGCTAGATCGTAGCAAATGCTTTGAGGTCGTGGCTGCTGCTGTGAAAAGCATTGTTTCGGACTCGGTTGTCGATCTGAAATGTCCAGAGGTACAAGTTTCACTGCTTACCTTTTTCCTTTTTGCAACATCGGGGCTGACCAAAGAAATTAAATTTGCAGCTCTCGGTTCTTATCGAGCTCCTACCCATTTCTCAACTACCGAAAGGGTCTTCACACGTGGTTGCTGTTTCGGTTCTTCCGCGAAATCTCATCATGACAAAGCCTCGTTTGTGCATCAAAGCTTTGGTTCCTGATACGAAATCAAAGAAGTGAAAGAAGAATGATATGTGTTTTTGTAGTTTAGAGTCATTTGATCGTATTAAGCAAGCACTTTAAGTTAATTGTACTAGAAGTAGAATGTTCATTACCTCTAGAGTCTAAAGCATTTAGATATTTTCATTTTCATACGGTTTGTTTTTTTTTTTCAAAATAAGAACTTAAATGATGTTTCATTCCTCTGAATTTTTAAGTGATAAATATATCACCTAATACCTCATAAATCTACTCTTTCTTGCCGGTGGCCCATTTTACAATGATCCACGATTCTCTTCACGACCAACACAATATATAATCAAAATCTGAAATTTCGATTAGTAAAACTGTAAAAGCTTTCTTTGTCCATCTAGTCACCGTGATTCATGAGGTTTTGATTGGTACAACAAGCTGATTCCACAAGGAACACTTTGAATTTTATCGTTATTTGATTAAAACCTTAAAAGAAATAAATACAAATTCATGCTGAGACAGAACATTGTTATACCCAATATGACTGATTCAGATTTCAGACGTAAAAACAAACATTCTAACTGATTCAAATTTCAGACTTCAACAATAACTCTTAAAAATCAGAAATGAAATCAGACTTCACCACATCTTAAAATTAAAATTTGGTTTTTTCATATAAAATTTTAAAGAAATACTATCAAGGCAAAAAAATTAGGTTTCACTGCAATGGAATGAATATAAAATAATCGATTAAACGTTGAAAGTGGACCAATTTGGAGGAGGAACCCAAAAGCGTACGAGAGACGGAGCAATTTCTCCAATGGAGGTTGAGGGATCATCGAAACCAATGATAGCAACACAGCAGGAAATGGTGAAAGCGAAGGTGCCGCTTGCATACAGAGATCAATGTGCACATTTGCTCATTCCACTGAATAAGTGCCGCCAATCCGAGTTGTACCTGCCATGGAAATGCGAGAACGAGCGTCACTCGTACGAGAAGTGCGAGTACGAGCTTGTAATGGAGAGGATGATCCAAATGCAGAAACTCAAACAATCTAACAAGCAGGGGAAGGGCAGTCCTATTCCTCTTATCCCCAAAACCGCCAACGCTTGATTAGTCCCTGTCGAATCGAATTGGCGATTATGGGTTTGTGATTTTTCATCATCGTTCAAATTTGTTTTGATATGCTTCTATTCCATGGATTTGTGGATTTGATTTTTGGTTTATTTGTGATCTAGGGTTATGTTTAATCTGAATTTGTTTAATTAGAGATTTCTTTTGCGGTTTGGCTGCACTATTGAGGCTATTCACAACTCGGTTTACTGTTGGCGTGACGTTTCATCAACATTTACTATACGTTCAGACTGCAAGTATAATTAGCAATATGAGATGCTAGTGTTATGCTATTAGATTTGCTGCTTTCTAAGACACATGATTTGTTTCGTTTACACAAATCCTCTTCGCCATGATTTTGTGCTAACAATGGTAGTGAAGCCCCTTTGCACAATCATTATTCCCTTTTTATGTTGGAAGACTGATTGATAAGAATATTTGATCATGCCAAACAAGATTTTTGCTGATAAATAACATTAATGGATTATATGTTAAGATTGGATGCCCCTGTACGGTAAGACGGTGTTCTAAAAATCCTGCTCAGGGGCCATTTGCCTAGGCATGAAGTGACCCTGACTGCTTGGACTAGCTTGGATACATACAAGGGATTAGCTTGGAGTAAAAGACATTATGTGAATAATGTACATTCAATTATATAAAGTGGCATTAGCTTGGGAAGATTTTGGAGATCAAAAACTTATGTCACAATTGAATTTGCAAAATACTAGGTTTGAATATGTTAAATAAGGACAGCTAGACTCTTCTTAAATGCCCAGGGGATGTTGGCTAAAATGAGCCAATAAGACTCCCCTGCTTTCTAGACTAAACCGAGGAGTACAACTAACATAAACCATCTTTGATATTGATTTAGCTTACCAACCTAATCCCTTCGACTTCGAAAACCTCTACATCCCAGCAAAAGGTTTAAAGAAATGTGACAAACTGACAGTTAAACTCACTAATACTTCTACTTTTGTTTCGAACCACATCTTTACTTGACGCATAATCTGCAAACTTGCTGCTGAGCTGAGTATCCGAGGATCCGATTTGAGCTTTTCCACTCGGTTGCTAACTTGTAACTTGAAAGGCTCCTTTATTCACTGTTCTTATGCCTGTGATGGTTCTGCCTAGAGGCTTTTTCTACTTTATTGTAGCTATAACTTGACACGCTCCACGAATTAGTATTGGAATTTCACAACTGCCTCTTCATAAGGTCTATTAGAAAACCTTCAAGACTGAAGGATGATAACAAATCCAAATCAGAGCTGAAGCAGGAACTCTGTCCCAAATAAAGCAAAAACTCCCACCCTTCAATTCTCAGGTAAGAAAATATCAAAATACTCCCAAAAAAGCATGATCCTCACTCCTTCAAAACCACCATAAACTTCCACCCTAAAAATCTTCAGATAGTGAATGCCCTGTGTTTAAGATCAATTATGCCCTTTCCTTTCTTCCTACCATCAACTTTCCTTGCCACTTCTTTCTTTAAAGTTTTCTGTTTACTCCCAACTACCATTTCACTTAAAACAAACATGACCCTCTCACATCTATACTTTGGGTAATACCACTGTTTACACCATCCAAGTCCCTCGCTTTTCTCTTTGTTTCATTCTATTTGTTGCAAGACATGAGCTTGCCCCATCTACATCATTATTAACCATGTTACACATCTATTATTCTCTCTAGCTCTCTTTTTGCTGTATCCCTCCATATTTTTCTGCATTTTTTCTGTCCCTAATTTAATTATTAGTCTTCCAATTTCTTTTTCAAATTGCACTTTGGTGTCACCCTTCTTCCTTGGCTCCAATTACGTTTCTGTTAGCCTAATGAATATATTATTTGCCTTCCCTCTTTGTGTTTTTATGGGGATGCCATCTTTCTTGTCTTGAATTTTACATTCTTTAATCACTATCTGCTACTACCTTCCAATCACCAATATTCTACTTATGGTTTTGGTAAAGCTCCATACGACTTATTTTAATGAACAAAATGGTCGAGCCTAACTTAGTTATCATCCTTGTCTCTTATGCAAATGTTAAAATTTTGACATGTGATCTTAATGTCTTCATCATTGTCTCCAAGCTCTCAATGGTGGACAGGTGGACCTTTAACCTTGCACCTCCCAACTCTTGAAAAACTGTAATTTATTTCTTGGCTTGTCCAAATGGAAGCTTCTACCAAGTCCCTTTTCCTTTGATTAGCTATGGGTCTATATTTTTAGACACTAAAATCTTCCTAAAGTTCCCCATTTCATGATGTATTCAAGCTCAATGTTCCTTTCTTTGCACTGTTCTAAAACCTCTTCTTCAAGCTTAATGTTCTCTTCCTTGCACCGTTATAAAACCACAAATGATCGATTTGCCACCTCGCCAAAATCAGAATTTTCTTTACGTACAACGATCTCCTTATCTGATTTGAATCTTAAGATTTCTAGCTGAACCTACTTTCTAGGTATTTCCTTTCAGTTTCTAGACCTTCATTTGTTGTTTCACCATAAAAACCTTGAAATTCTCTCCATCCCAATTAATCTTTTGACCATCTCAATAGCCTTCCCAACCTTTTCATACCTCAATGAATGCAAATCCACTCCAATTAAATGTGGTTATACCTTCAATTTGTCATGCCTACCAAAGAAATTCGCGAGCCCTATGCTGTTTTTATTCGAGTTGGGAGATGTTACTTTTTTTTAATTAACCTGGATATCCAACCCGTTATGCGAGCCAACTAATCCCAGGGTGACCACCCGTTTTGCAGGTAGCCCGGAGTCATTGCATTTGAACCTCTGTGGCCGCAAGGGGATTTTTATTCCTCGGATTCGAACATGGGACCTCACACTTTTGACCTTTGGAGCCCAAGCTCAAACCAATCGGGTTTCCTTCTCTTTCGATGTCTCTTGCCTCTCCCTTTACCAATATACCTGTTCAATTCCTCTATATCATCTTTCTGAAAACATATTGTTAGGATTATATGCTTGGATCCTAACACGTATGCTCAAAACCCCAAAGCTAATTCTTTTCTCTCCCTCAACCCACTTCCCTCTTTCTAATGCGTTACCACCTGAAGTGGCATCCAACCTGCCTCCCCCTTCCCTTCACTCCCTCTATTAGTCGTGTTACATACACATCTTTGCGTCTCTCTTCATTATGGTTTTAAACCATTTATTTTCTTTATGTTTTTTTAATTGTCTTTTCACTATAGTATGATGAATAATGCAGTTTGTTTTGATAAATTTCATAAGAGTAATGAGCTTTCTTGTATGTTATCTTTTCCCTTCTCTTTCATGTGCATGCATACATTTGTAGATTGTTACGGACATGATATCGAGGTTCTGTTTTGGTCTATTTTTGTTGTAGATAGTAGAGATGCTAAGACTTGCTCAAATTTTGACAGGGGCATGAAACTGCTCAATTTTGTGGACTTCCAGAAGACTGCTTAATGCCATTGGTAAGAAGAAACGTAAATCTATTTTGTGTTTCCATGTACGAGAGGACGATCAGACAATTTCTTTCTTCTCAATAAGATACTTATTCTAATGAGTCTTGTTTGGTATTCAACGTTATTAATAAAAGGAGGTAGTAAGTTTTGATTCTTCAATATCATTGAAACTTGATGCTTAGGTAGGTTAGGTGCTAAAAATGGTTTTAATGGAGAAGCATAATGGTGGCATCAACCACTTAACTTTGTGAAATTTGGGGTTTGATTGGGATTGGACACGATTAGACGGATGAAGGTGAAAAAATCGTAAACGTTTTAGGGTTTTAATTTAAGATGGCTAGATTAAATACTTTACCAATTTTGTAACATCTATGTGATTTTTGTTCCATCCGATCATGTCTTGTGTCATTCTAAATGTTGCAACCAACATTAATGAGAAGTTTTTGATCTGTCAAAGGCATTGGTTGCCTTTACTGTAAAGAAAATGACTGACTGGCTAATGATGGTGCCAATGGTTAGACGGGGAGTTGATGGTAATGGTGATGCAGCAGAAGGTGGTCCAAACCACATTGCAGGGTTGGGGAAAAAATCAGTTGGAAAGGTATTTGAATGAAAAAGGGGTTGTGTTTCCAGGGCAAGTTGGGTGGGTTGCATCTTAGCAGTTAGCAGTATGTGTAATGTAACTGTGTTTTAAAAGGGTAAACGAATGTATGTATAGGGTAGGGTAGGGTAGGGAGAGGGGTAGAAATGGAAGATAGAATATGGGGAACAGTGAAATAGTGGGAGATTTGGAAGACAAAATGGGAGGAGAGGGACAGAAGGGAGGGCCTTCTGTTGAAACCATCATTCCTCTTCTCTATCCGTCCCATCTCTGACCCCTGCCTCCTCATCATCATGGTGGCTGTTGCCGGCCCCAATCCACCACACAGCTTCAAAAGTCAAACTCCATTTCATTTCTTTCTTTTTTTCAGTAAACTGAAATCTATCAGGGTTGGCTTCCGGTCAAAATAAAAGTTATTAAGAAGGTATCTTCATCCTTGAATTAAATTAACGCTAATAACATACACTAGATCAGTACTAAAATACTTTAATCAGACTACATATGAATTCAAAATATTGTTTTCTTTTGAAACGAATGGTATATTAACGATGTCCAAAAGCCTAACCTTAGTGGTTGAAAGACTAGATCTTTTTATACGTTAAATATACTTGTCTGAACCAATTCAAAACCATAATATTTGAATCCCATTTGAAGTCAATCTAGCTTAATTAATCATCGAATAAAAACGACTGTTACCAACTGTTTTGTATTAAGCACTTAATGAGTAAGCAATGGTCGTGTAAGTCTGGAGAAGATGAGGGTGGGTGGTGACAGTTTTTAAGCTACATGGGCATTTAAAAGTATATATAATATTAAAATACTCTAACTTTATTGGACGTAACAGAAAAAATTAACGGTCGTTAGATAGAATGACGAAAACTAGTGTGAAATGATAAACGTGAGGGACTAAATTTAAGTTTTTAAAATTTAGGAAGGATATTGTTGAAATTGACAAAAATTCGGGACCAAAAAGTAAACTTCATATTTTTCACTTAATAGTTGCAGGAGAAAGAGGTACTGGAAAATTATTCTCTTGCTTCACCGTACGTAATCATGGCATAGAATAGCATACCATGCTGTCAGTCACAACATTTCCAGAGGGTTTTTTTTTTTCTTTTAAATATATTTTTAATATTTATTAATTAGAGGTGGGTTTCGATGATAATAAAAGTTAAAGTACAAAGTATAAGAAATGATCTTCACCCTTACATATACACATTAAGATGAGATGTATTGAGAAATACCGTATCAATTTTCATATCAAGCGCGATTCATGAGTGACTTTGAGATAAAAGTTGATCAATGATTCAGATTTCTTCTTACGCTTTCCGCCTTAACTCTCTTTTTCACACGATCCATTACCTTATTAATTAATTTTTTTTATTTTTATTTTAGTCTCGTAGAAAAAAGTGTTTTTTTTAGTAAGTGGTTATTTTACTAATTAAGGGGTTGTTTGTTTACCTTTTAATAATTTCATTAAAAAACAATTTCTGAATCGTTAAAAGTTGAATCTTGTTTGGCAAAAAAAAAACAATCTGCCTCTTAATGATTTTAAAACTCTTTGAATGATTTTGTATCATGAGTCTCCCTTAACTATTCAGTGCCCTAATTTCATTATAAACAATGTCAAAACAATCATATTTCATTTTACACTATATGATAAAAGCCTCTTAATCATTCTGCATCAGACCATTCATCAAATGTCAAGCAACCTCTAACTCTTATTTATGAGGTGGATATATTTCGTTTTCTTTATTATTAAAGTTAAATTTATTATTTAATTCATTAAAAAATATAATAATTACAATGTGAGATCATCAATAGAAAATTTTGAAAATAAATATTTAAAAAGAAAAATAATATTTTAATAGATAAATTAAATATTTTAATACCATAATCAATATTGGATTCCTTAATATGAAGAATATATTTAAAATAAATGTTTTTTTTTCTAAAATTTAACTTTTATTCGTACATTTTAAATTTTTTTAAAAAATATGTTTGAAATGCTATAATAAATAGATGTGAAAATTGATCAATAATTAATAAATAAAAATGTAAATTTTTTTTAACTTTTTTGAAAGCGAGAGATGAAATGAAAGATTTGAATATCTTCCAAATTACCCCTGCCATGTGTAAACAAACAGTAGGTGTTTCTGAAAAATGGCAAGGACACCATTGTCATTTAAATTAGCTAATTAATAAATTATGTTTGATAAAAACTAACTTATAAAAATATAAATTGACATCTTAAAAAAATAGTTAATTAAAAATATTTCATAATAAAATTCTAACAATATAACTAAAACAAATATTTAATAATATAATATATTAATTAATACAAACAAGATATTAAATAAAGTTAAAAAATATAATACGGTAAACGGTCTAATGAAACGAGGACAGAGCTTACCACGCTTCCCAAACCGTATAATACCTTTCCAAGTGGACACCTTTGGCATAACACAATCTCCGACTTGGAATTCCGTCGGTCGTCTCCTCTTATTAGCGTAACTTTTCTGACAGTCTTGAGCCGTTTTCAACCGTTCACGGATACATTTAACTTTGTCAGTCGTTTCATGCACGATCTTGGGTCCGGAAAATTGTTTCTCACCCACTTCACGCCAATAAATGGAAGTCCTACACTTTCGTTCATACAACACTTCCAAATGAGCCATTCCGATACTAAAATGGTAGCTATTATTGTAGGCAAACTTCACTAACGATAGGTGGTAATCCCAACTTCCACCGAAATCAATGACGCCTGATCTTAGCATATATTCGAGAGTTTGAATGGTCCTCTCACTTTGGCCATTGGTTTTAGGGGGATAAGTGGTGCTTAACTTCACCCTCGTACCTAACTCCATTTGCAGGGCATGCTAAAAGTTTGAAGTGAATCGTCTCTCTCTATCCGATACAATCGACAAAGGCACCCCGTGTCTGGAAACAACTTCATCGATGCACAACTTCATCAACTTGTCCATCGGTAACATTTCTCGCATGGCTAGGAAATGAGCACTTTTGGTCAAACTGCCGACCACTAGCCAAATAGTATCATGACCTCTCAAAGTTTTGGGCGACTTGATCATGAAGTCCATGATGACGTGCTCCCAGTTCCATTTTGAGATCTCCAAAGACATAAGGCTTCCGTACGGTCGTTGGTGTTCGGCTTTCATTTACAAACATGTCACGAATCGCTTCACGTAGTTAGCCATGTCTAGTTTCATGATGAGCCACCAATAATCCAACGTCAAATCCCTATACATCTTTGTACTTCCCAAATCCCAAGTGGATGGGGTACTTGGATATGTGAGCATCTTCCAAAAGTAATTATCGGTTCCCCGCATCTTAAGCACCTAAATGCGCCATCGGAAGAGTTTCAAACCTCGACCATCTCCCGTAAACGATAAATGTTGTTTCACCATTACTTCACTCTTGAGGTTATTTTCCAATAATGTCTCAATTGGTGGTTGTACTGTTTCATTCGCCCAAAGTTTTTATTTTTTCCACTGAGGTTTGTTCTTCGGTGCAACGTTTTAGTAAGACAATAGTTTATACATCATCTTGCTTTCTAAACCTCTTGATTGATGTACGAAGCAGTAAGGATAGTAAACTAAAGAAACTGTTTAATGGTGCCTTTGTCCAAAGTTTTTATTTTTTCCACTGGATTTTGTTTATTTAGCATCAGGTTTTAATGAGGCAAGAATTATGTACCATCACCCATTTGACTCGGCACAAAAGGGAGTGTTAAAGGATTATGCGTTTTCATAAAAAAAAAAGTAATTGAAATAATAGTTCTCAAACATTAGAATTTACCATAATGAACGTTTACTTTTCGTTGCAAACTCATTCATATATAAAGGGCTTATAATTAATGAGAATATATAGCTTCTTGGTTCTCTCTATGTTCACTATTCTATTACAATTTTAAAATTAATTATATTATTGAAGATTATAAATACATATATTTTTTTAGAAATGGTTTTTAAAACTTACATTTTATACCTTTATATGTATCATAATATATTAACTAAAATACATAAAATTACGTTTTTATTGTAGCGTAGTGTTATTGAACATAAATACATAATTTTTTTTTTACATATCTTAGTTCATATATTATTAACCCCTATACATTTAACATTAGATATTGAACTCTTGATGTTTTTTTTATTAACCTGGATATCCAACCCGCTATAAAAGCCGACTAATTCCGAGCGACCACCTGCTTTGCAGGTAGCCCGGAGTCACCGCAAATAACCTTAATATCCAACTCTTGATGTTTTTTTATTAACCTGGATATCCAACTCTTCATGTTTATGATAACTTTCTATTGCAAATTCTGTAAAAATGTATTTTACGTATTTTGGTTAATATTTGTAACTAATAAATATGATAAGATGTTAAATGAAAAATGAAAAAGTAATAAAATAATAATATATTTTCTGTCGTAAAATAACGAAAATATCTATATAAATTAGTACAATTTTAATAATATATTTTTCAGACTTAGTTCATCCAAACTCTAAAGTCTTTTTTTTCCAGACTTAGAAGTCTAAACTATGATTTAGTGGGATTGATTTTATATTTCAAAGTTATTTCAAGAGTACAAGTTTGAAGAGTCATTCTTGAGAGTTTTACTTTAAAGTTATTTTCAGAGTATAAGTCTAAAGAGTCATTCTTCATAGTTAGCTCACATGAACTCTGAAGTCTTTTTTTTTCGACGGAGCACCATGCAGAGCTTCTGGCTTGCCTATATAGAGCTCTGAATTTTGAAGAGTTTTATTTCAAAGTTATTTCAAGAGTACAGATTTGAAGTCATTTTTTAGAGTTATACTTCAGAGTTAGTTCAAGAGTACAAGTCTGAAAAATCATTCTAAATTTAATTCTAAGTTTGAATTCAATTTACTAGTATAGTTTCTTTCTAAATTTAATTTTTATTTTAGGGTTAATTTCATTTTAACTAATTATTGATATAATTTCATTTCTAAATTCAAGTCTGAAGAGTCATTTTTCAGAGTTATTCTTGATAGTTATACTTCAAAATTATTTCAAGAGTACAAGTCTGAAGTAGCAATCCTACTTTCGATGATCATTCATATATGTAATATAAGTTTCCTGATATCATTTAATTTTTTAAAATTATCATGTGTAATATACGTTATCAAACCTAGTGTATATATATATATATATATATATAAGTGTATGTGTGATTATATATATTGTGTGTATATGTATTGCTATAAATAAATAGAAAAAAAAGGAAAAAGGTAAATTACAATATTGGTCTTTGAGATAAAGACGAAAAAAAAGGTAACACTTAACGGATTAATTTAACGGAGTTAATGATTAGGAACTATTTTTAAAGCAAAATGTAAACAGTATGAACGATAATTATAGTTACTAAAATCTAAGGATCTTTTTTTGAGAATGGTGAAAACCACATGGAGCAAAATCGTAGTTCACTCTTATTATAAATTAAAGATTATGATTTTTTAGTGAGTAATTAGACTTGATTTTCTTTGTATTGGATGGACCCACCATTTTTATTTTTATTGATCGAGTCGGAGATGGTATAAAACACTAAAAATATCTAAACTTGGCTTCTATATTTAGAAGTAAGAAAAAATGACTTCTATAAATAAGATATTAATATAAAATTAAGTTTTTTTTATAATTATATATATGTGTATATGTATGTATATATTGATTAATAGTTTAATATTAAGTTATTATTATTGTATTAAAAATGTTTTTAGTGTTTTTTGCGTGTGGTTGAAGTTGATTTTTTTTAGTGTTCAATGAACTCATCATTTTAATGTTTTTTTTACCGGTTGGATTGAAGATGGTCTAAGAGAAGATTATTAGCGTAATCTTGGATTTTAGTGTAAGAAGGGGCAAGAAAAAAAAATACCCATTTAATAATATATGTAAATATAGAGGAATTTTAAATACAAATCATTGAAATAATATATACCATACAAACTATGATTAACACTTATATCATAAAATAATCGAGATATTTATAAAAATGACGAGGGTTCATTAATTATGATCAATATCTTCATGAAAAATGATAGGGTTTATTTATAATGATCTTTGCTTTAAATTAGAAATAATCGAGAGATTTATAAAATTATATATTCAATAAGTTAGATGGACGATTAAGATCGATTTGTATCTGAAACTTCCTTTCGATATACAAGAATCAAGTTATTAATTTATTTGAGTTTTTAGGATACCAAGGACATGTTTGAAATTTTTTGGAATTCAAGTGGCTTTCACACTAAGACAGTTACCATTTCATATTGAAATAAACAAATAATTAAAGAAATCAAATAAGACAGAACACGGAGATCATATTCAATAAATTGTATAAAAATCAGATGCACAATTTAATTGCTTGTTCATACCTTATTGCAAACAGTAGGTTTAGATATCATGCATATATGCTAGTTTTAAGTTACAACATGTATGATTGAGAAAACGTCGAACCATCTAACGTATAACATAGCAAACGAAAGAGAAATAACATCACAAATCATATAACACTGGTTCTCAAAACATGTTGGCTACCAACGTAACTGGCATTGGTTGGTAACATATTGGTATGGTGCAACTTTGGCACCCCTAACCTAAAGCAAGACCAACATATCATTTCCAATGAAATGACTCAATGAGTTGGTGTAGCTTAATGCCCATAGAGATGTCAAAATATTTGACTATGAGTACCTGCATGCAAACCAACTACGTACCAAATACTCTAAACCGATTAACGTAAACTCGTGCAAGGAGGTATTATATGCAAGAACGATAACACAAAAGAATCTTTACATGCATATAATTAAACATAACTTGTGTGTCTTACACTACCACATGGTGCCTTTTGTGGGACCATTAAATTCGTACCCAAACATCATCATTCACATATATACCATGGCTACAACTTATAGCCAAGCCACAAGCTTTCATTTCGAAGGGCTTATTGCCACACTCTTCATTATTCTATAAGAGTGTCACTATCTATCTAACACAACGTTGGCGTCAACGTAATCTTGTGTTGAATGTTCTTGTAGTCTAGCACATTCCTGTTTGGTGGTAACCTATATAAATCATGAGTGTTGTGATATGTGACTCTTTACATGTTTTACAAAATACGGGCATATGTAAAAACAGAATTCGAGTCGTTCCCGTTTTGATAAGTCATAAACCGGTTGCTACCAACTATGGGAGTCCATGATCCTTTTCAAATATGATAATTCCAAATTTGAAAGGAAAATAATTCATCAAGAATTTCAAGAGGGGAATGATATTGTACCTAAGAAAAGTGAAATATTTTTACCACAAAAGATAAAAGAGCAAGAATGATCACATTTTCTGCATCAGAGAAGAAGTAAAAAAATGATGAATGACAGTGAATCATTACTTTTTGTTTGATTTGGATAACAAAAACAAAATTTGAAGTCATGGCCATTTGTTATCATGACAAGGTAGGCCTATTACATTTGCAATTACTCCTACCATTTTAGAGAGAGAAAGCCATGAAAATGAAGAGTGAGATTGAGCAAAGAGTCAAACAGCATAATTTTTCTTTGTAGACAGGTGAGAGAACTGCCGAGAGAGAAAGCTCGTACTTCACACACATATATCCACATATACGTATACGGCCAATACATACATATGTACATATATATATATATATATCTATATATATCTCAGAACTTTTCTTTGCAGACGGTAATATAGCTGACTGGACCCTAGATCAATTTATTACTTCCTTCCTTTCTTCCTTTTTCTCTCTGTATCTTTCTATCTGTATACACACATAAACAGTGGTTTAAGAGTAGCCAGTTTCAACGTGATTGCCAAAGAGAAAAGGGAGAGTTTTGAATGGTTCTTGGAAGATTTTCGAGAACACCCGTGTGCTGAAAATCTGTAAAGAAGCAATTTTTAGGAAACCCTTTTGTTTCTCAGAGAAAAAAGAGATGGGAAGTTGTGGGAGGAATGGAGCAGTAAGGCAATATATAAGATCAAAGGTTCCAAGACTCAGATGGACTCCTGATCTTCATCACTCCTTTGTTCATGCCATTGACAGACTTGGTGGTCCAGAAAGTAAGTTATTTTTTTTCCACTTTTCTTGTAAATTATTGTTCTTCAATGACTGATGCTGTTCTGATGATGATGATGATGATGTTATGTATGCATGTAGAAGCTACACCAAAGCTTGTTCTTCAGATGATGGATGTAAGAGGACTCACCATTTCCCATGTCAAAAGTCATCTTCAGGTTCTTATTTTCATCATTCTTCTTCTTCTACTTCATTTTTTTTTTTTTTTTGAAGAACAGAAAAACAATCTTTTGATGTTAACTGAACATGGTTTTTCTTTATCAATGAAACCTGTTAACAGATGTATAGAAGCATGAAGAGTGATGGAAATAAGCAAGGTATCCTTCTCTTACACATATTCTGTCAAAATACCCTTTTTTCTAATTCAATTTTCTATATACGATTAAAGCACCATATTCCCTTGCCAAAATAAGCAAATTTTGAACAAATATTCCCTGGTTCTGAATCCTTTTTCTGAAGAAGCCATGACCACTTCGATAACCTCCGGTCTGAGATAATATATCGTATACGTACACTTGCAAAACATGTATATTATTTGCACAAACTTTGCCGTATACACTTTTTCTTTTTTTGAAAATACAAAACAAAATCAAACAACTACAAGAGACGTGTAGGTTTTTGGAATGGATTTTGGACTAAAATATCCATTTACATCCGCCATTTACTAACCCCCCACATTCCAAAAGTGGTTTTGTTGACTTAATTACAGAAGCAAACAATCAACCTTGTCCCTCGTTTCAAATAATGGCATCTTTAAGAACTTCCAAACATTCCCTACACTCATTTCTAGTTAGTCGGTGTTTGTGTTTCTACTGATTCATCAAAAACCCATGTTGAATCCATGTTTCATGATTTTTTTAGTCGAGTCAAAACACATTGCATACACACACTTTCTAAATAAAGAAAGGCGTTTCATCTCTTTTTCTTATATGCCACCTTTTCGTCTCTTTCTGTTTATTTCCTAATGTGGGGACTCTTATCTGGTCTCACTTATGCCGACTAATGATTTATGAAAACTTATATCAGAAGATGAAGATCTCAATTCCATTGGATCACACAGAAGACAATCTCTTGAGGATCATCATGATGGGTGTCTTGATCATGAGCATCATTTGAAGCCCACGATTCAAGATTCAGATTCTCACTTCATTTACACTCTCCCTTCTAAAAGGTTTGACCATCATTTTATTTATAATATTCACTAAACGAAGAGAAACCCAACATATAAAACTACCACATTAATGAAAGACTAAATGTTATGTTTGATTTAGAAAGATGCAAATCATCTATTTAAAGATCGTTACATAGTTTGATATAAGTTTCCTACTGATCCAAATAAAAATACAAAAAGAAATTAAAGAAAGGTATGAACTTGCATTTTGCATGTTGAATTTATATGTGTTTATCATCAATTTTTCATTTGTTTCTAGATGCAGAATGGAGACAAGAAATGGTAAGCATGAATGGTGGGAAAATGGAGAACAGATAGAACAAGAGGAAGCCATTGGGAATCTCACATGGCAGCAGCCTTCTCTTTCTTTTTCTTTCCCACATTTTCTCATGCATCCTTCCTTTACCCATGTAAATGCTCTTCATCCAGAATCTGACTTCCTAAAGGTTCTCTCTCTCTCTCTCTCTATCTATATATATATATATATATATATATACACGAATGACGCATCCCTAATTATAATCTTTTTTAGGAACTATAAATCATAGGATTCAAGTATATATCATTGGTATTAATTCGCGCATCTGTGTTATCCTTTCCAACATGGGGGGTGTGTGTGTGTATATTAATACACACACACACACGTATATGTGTGTGTTTTGTATAAACATGTACCCGATTGCAAAAGGGTTGCATAGTATGCATATATGCCAGATTGATTCTTCTTGGCAGCCTTTAAACTCTAGTAAACAAAGTGGCATGATTTCTTGGCATGCATGTGTAACTTTCAAAGCCAGAGAATATGCTGTTGCTGTTGCCATAAAAACCTGTTTGGTTGCTTAAACAATGATGCTTTTTCTGCCGTCTGTTTTTACACCATTTCTGCCCCCAAACTACTTCTACGCAAGAATTTCTGTAGTTTCTACATCGTGTTGTCAAAACATACATCTACAAACCTACAAAATGGGAATCTTGTGTTCACAAGTAGTATTTATGTATGCATTCATGTGTTGTACAGTACAAGTACATATGTAAAACAGTAATGGTTCCCATTCTTTTCTTTCTGTATGGTATAAAATATGGTTTACCAGTCTTTGGTTGTTTGGTGCGGAAAGCTACACAGTTTTTGGTGAAAATTTTCAAAGTTTGTGAAGGGATTTGGTAGGAAAGTAGGGCCTTCTTGAATTTTCTTGGTTACTAAGTATTTAAAATTTTTAAAAAGGGTTTTGGTTTTATTTAGATTTTTGAACACTGCGGATCGCCTAAGAGACGGAAATTGGAGGGCTCGAGAAGCACTGAAGACGAAGACGGATTGTTGAAGCTTTCGTTGCACCATCACTCGACACAAAGGAGCAGTAACGGTTCATCATCGAGTGAAATGAGTGAGGTGTATTCGAGGCCTAATGTAAACGATGGTTCGTTGAACAAGTGTAGTGTTAATTTAGACCTATCTATTGCTTTATCTGGCAATTGATGAGATATTTATTGAAGAGATTCTTTTCCGAATTTGGTTGTTTCGTTACGAGTTATTCTTTTGATTGTTGTAACGTTCTTTTGTTTTTTTTTGAATGAACGTGTCATGTCGAAATTGAATAAAATGTGTCAAATAAGTAATTTCGGTTAAAGACATCATGGACCACGACAATTTATCAATATCGATTTTAGCATATTATGACATGATTTAGTTTCGTTCACGAAAAAAAGTCTTTGACTTCGATTTTAAACCGAATGCCACCTTATCATTCGATTCGAAATGAATTCACTTTAATCATTCCGTTTCCGTGCATTAAAAAGGTTCCTTAAACGGAAGGCCACCTTATTTTTTCGCGTTATTTAATTCTTTTTTATTCCAAAAATAATACCAAATTTTGTGGATCTTGTTTTTGTTTTTCATTGCGACTTTACCATAACATGACAAACATCAATAAAAGTCTTCAGCAGTGAATAACTAAAAAAATGAATATATACACAGCTTTCATTTTGCAGAAGTCATCCCACAATAATATGATAAAAAGGGGTACGAAAGAGATAATTGATCATTGAAGAAAAATGGTCCCATCGTTTTTGACTTCATCCTTTGAGTCATTAAATTAAATGTCGAGTTTTGTACGTATTTGAATCATGTGAATTTTAACGCTTTACAAAGTTGTGTTTATTTGAAGTCAAAGATAAAGCTAGAGGGTCTTTAACCTAGCGGTATCTGAACCTCTTGTCTCATAGGAAGTCAGGGGTTCAAACCTCATCAATGGTAAGGAGGGTGTGTGAGTTTATTTGTCATATATAAAACATATTATGTATTTCAAAAAAAAAAGAAGATAAAGCTGTTTTTGGTATTTTTTATTATTATTATTATATATAGGGTATTAGGGTTGTCATGAAAAGCATATAATAGAGGAATATCCATTGCAAAATCTTGGTATTATGCATTTGAGAATGTTTGTTTGTTGATTGAATCTGTATATTTTTGTACTGAATTGTGGGTGGTTAGTTTTTGAATAAATGAAAGACGAAATTTGTTTCAAGGGCCAAAGGTTTATTCATGATGAATAAATTAATAACTCCATTTTAATCCTAAAAAATTATTAGGTCATCATATGGTTCATAAATTCCGTACCGAGCAATTAGGTTTATTTCACCGTAAATCCACATGCCCATAAGTCAACAATGAACACTTCCCAGCCCTTTGCATGATAAAGTCTTGGATGACACTTTTTAAGTTATTTACGCATTACACACACATATATATATATATATATATATATACACATACATACATGCGCACACACACATATATATATATACACATACATACATGCGCGCACACACACACACATATATATATATATATATATTATATAGTTGAATTCACATGAGATCAACCTATTTTTGTAAAACCACATTTTTGTACTTGAAACTTGACAACATAACATTGTAAAGTTAAAAAACGTGAATTTTCATAACAAAAACACTATGAAAGTTACCATCACAATGTTTTGTTCAAGTGTGAATATGAGGTCTCACAAGTCTCGTAAAAACATGTTGGTTTCACATGATCCAAGTGTATACACACATATACATATACACATACACACACACACACACACACACACACACATATATATATATATATGGGAGGGCTTAATCAAATGAGAATCTTAGAATTTGTACGATCCGTGAAATTCAAATATGAGTCACTAATTTGAGATGATTATGTTATTTATTAAATAAATATATAAGGTAAATTAGTCTATTCATAAATGCATTTAGTTAATTAATTCTCCGCATAGATAGGAATCTTATAACTCATCAAATAAAAAATATATAAGGTAAATTAGTCCACTCATCAATGTGTGTGTGGATGGAGGGTCGAGATCAATTCCTCACGTTCACAATGAAAATGGAGTTTATAATGAAAAATTGTGTTAGAATAAAGCACTTCTTTGCCCTTAAATGAGTTAACTTTTTAATTAAACTTTATTTTCTTCAACTAATTTCAATACTCGCAACTACATTTATCTGCGTTTATCTTCACTTTTAAGTCATTTTCACAAACTTTTGCATATATTTATTCACTTTCATATTCATGAATTTGTTAAAATTTTGGTCGCAATTATAAAAATAGAAAATAAATGTAGTTAAATGCAGATGAATGTATACGAAGGTTTTGTTATCACTTTCTCACCATACCTCTTATTATCACCAGAACTCCACCATATATATGGAGGATTAAACGAGAACAGAGGAAAATTAGAAAACACAAAGACGACAAACATCATAAGTGATTTTGCACTTAAATCGCATGTTATTATGGAACACGGTCAACGCAAAGGTGGGTGGGTGGGCGACTTGACCTGTGACCCAGGTCGCGGCCAACATCACATGAATCTCATGTGATTTTAGTGTAGAATCTCATGTGATTTTAGTGTAAAATCACATATAATTTATTCGTTCTTGTATTATCTTTCTTGGTTACTGTTTTTAGAGGTGTGTAAAAAGTCATTCGATCCAATTTAAATCGACACATGCAATTGTTATTGGATGAGATTGGATCTAAAATTTCAACATCCAAATCAGATCGATCGGTTCTTGGATGACAGTCCAACATCCAATAAAACCGGATCGATCCAATTCAATGACCATCCAACTAATATCAAATAATAATTATATATAATTATTAACATTTTACGATATTTTTTTAATTGATATTTATATACATTATTTTTAATAACTTAAGAAAATATATGAATAATTGGTCAAAATGATGGATTAAATGGTTGACTATTGGATCATCAGATTGGAGAAATCCAATCTGATCCAATGGATAACCAACGGTATCATCCAATGGATAAAACCAATCCGATCCAATCACTCCCTCCCCCCCCCCCCCCCCCCCCCCCCCTCAATGTATGTGAATAAAAAGATGGCTACAACCATTTTGTAAATAAAAAACCACCCTTATTTTTTAAAATTGAAAATAATCGTAAATTTAACAAAAATTGAAGTCAAACAAATTTAAAAACGAGCATTTTCTTCGCTTTAGTTTGCCATCCATACTGGTACACTTTTTATAATGTTCTTATACTTTCTCCTAATTTGAGGGTGTTTTCAATTGAACCCACACACATGCATACAATAGTAAGTGTCACTCGGCAGCTGCCAAACCATAAACAGTGCATTTATTGTCCTAACTCATACCCTAGTGTTTTTTACGTATGTAATACATAATAAAAAAGGATCCAATACCGACGCCACAACTCATAAATGTAAAGTTGAAAACTGAAGTATGTGATTTTGACATCGATTGATTAGATATTTTCTAAGATAATGTCTAACTACTAAACTTCTATCTGTTTACTTTCTGTGATTCATTTCAAAACAATAATTCTGCTTTTCTAAAACATATAAAAACGTAAACATGTCATTAAGGAAACCATGTTCTGAAGACCCAAATTGTCCGCAATAATTTCAAATATAAGGAGTTTGAATACTTTTGATGACTTTACTCTTTAACACATATCAGTTTAAGTTATCGCCATAAACCTATCAGTAAAAACTGGTTCTGATATAAATAAAGCTCCTGATAAACAATCAAACGCATAGTTTATAACATTTATTTAAATAATTATCCATCAATTATGTATCACTAAAAACCATTAATTTACAGCAATGAAATAATGATTCTAAACACACATGGTCAAAGAAGAATTTGTGTTTTTGTTTGGTGGCACAAAAAAGGACTTTTTGAACACATCCAAATGTTCAATAAATTACAAAAGGGAATTTTGAATTTTGAAGCGACAGAAACGTGTATAGTGAAAGGAAACTAGATAAATTATTTATTTAATAAATTGTTATCATGTATAATCAGATATTTTAATACGTTAACAGTCGTATAATACATATCTGAACTTTATTAACATGATATCAAATAATTTGGTCTTGTTCAAGTGTATGTGACAGTAATAAAAAATTATATATATATATATAGGGGCTGGTTCAAATGTTAACCAAGATTATTGTGTTAATTTTGTTAACCGATCTTGACCATTCAATCTTTCAATAAACGGTTGTGATTAATCATGATAAAAACTTATTTTTTTAAATTTAAAATTTCATAAAGATAAGTAAACAAAGTTGAAAAGGGTAATTAGGTAAAAAAATTATGTAACTCCCATATCATTAATTAATTGGGAGTTACAAAATAAAAAAAAAATCTATGATTTTTTTGTTAATTTAAGATTCATATGAACACGACTATATACATTGTATCAAATACGAATAAAAATTTGATATATATATATATATATATATGAACTTGGACTGCATAGCATTTATAAATATAATATGAACATAATAAGAATAACTGCTATACGAAAGAAAATAAATAAAAAAACAGATATGAACACGATATGAACAGCTTGTGAACAATAGTTCCTTTATTACAAACACATTCAGGAGCGATCCTTTGTCAATTGGAGTTTTATACATGCAATTGCATCCACACCGTTTAAAGTTCACCCCTTGTTCATATATGTTTCTGATCTTATATGGTTGTTCACCCCTTGTTCATATCGTGTTCACTCCTTGTTCATATCGTATAAAATATATGAACACATAACCTCAACGTTATGAACACCAGGTGCAAACACTTACACAAATATAAAGATTTGGTATCAAGCATAAAAAATAATACTTGTGTTCATATGATAGAAGAAGTAACATAAACACAATGGTTCATGATTCATAAAAGTCGGTAATATGACAATATGAAAATGGGTCGTGCATGTACTTCCGTTTGAACATGTGAATTAGGTACGTATTTTAATAATTAAAGAAAAAAGCTATCAATAGAAGATGAATTATAAAAAACACAACACATCGTAATGAACATAATTTCGATTAAAACGAATCTAAAAAAATTAAAAGTATTTTTACCAAGACATTCGTTTTGGTTAATTTGTTCAATTCCCGACCTCGAACTCTGATTGTCATCATAAACCATTTTAATCTTCTCACTGTTGTCGATTTATTTTCCATTGCGTTTATCCATAT